TTTATTTATTTATTTATAATGACTTTTTTTAATGAAAACGCAGGAGAATGATTATAATACATGTGTTGCGAGTGATTGACAAATATATAAATGCTGATTTCTTTTTATCTTAATTGCTATGTTTGTAGTTAAGTGACGTTTTTTGCACCAATCTATTACATATTTTGCATGTATTATTAAAAAATGTTATTTTCCACGTGTACAGCGTATATAGGGTGTCCCATCGGATGTTCTTTTAATAGCAGATTCTCTGGCCAATTTCGAGTTCATGTTTCTTTAATGAAAATATCGAGAAAGGTCGTCATTTTTTGCAAGCTTCAAATTTTTTCCAACATGTATCTTTGTTATTAAGCTTCAAATTAAAATTCCGTTTGCTTGAAATTAACTGAAGAGTGTAATTTTATTAAAAAATCCTACACAAAGTTTAGTTTAGCAAAAAGCCTTTCCTTTTCAATTGCTTATAACTTGGAAATTATTGATGTATTTCCGCTAAGGAAAGTCGTCTACAAATGATAGCCAGAAAATCTGCTATTAAAAAAAAGGTCCATTGATTTTGAGACTCCTTATATAGCTAAATAAGATTCACTTGCATAATAATAAAGCATTAGTCTTCAATCTTAATCATGATAAGGAAAATATATTATACATATATTCCAGAAATATGTTTTTCGCATAAGCTCCAAGAACAAAAAATTCATGCATAGATACATTTTTCTAAATCAAAAAATTATGCAACGTACGTATTACGTCAATATACAATGTGCATAATTAAGAACATACAAAGTCTGAAGCCTGTAATTCTAACATTACATGATTAGATGTAAGAGTTTTGCAAAAAATAAACGTATAAATTTTATGTATAGATCGATAAATAATGGATGAAAATAAACCTGTATGAGACTGGTATCAACCGATACAAAATTATTTAACATTGACTTTAACGGTTATAATATCTTTGATCAATGATCATAAAATGGGTAATAGCTCTGATGTGTAGCAATTCTTTGTGTTGACTATTTACGTTGTTGTAAACTATATATAAATTCGCGTGCAAACAGCGTGCAAGTCTAACATATATTTCTACTGAATTTCAAGAAGTATACGTATAACGCGATCATATGTTCAAATAAATAGCAATGAATATTTGAATAATAACTATTTATAATAATTCGTTTATGGAATAATGTAGAATAAAATTAAATGTAAAAGCGCATTTTACATTTTGTTATTTAGAATATATGATTTTTTATCATAATCATGAATCTTTCTTCTTTTTTTTTTTTTTTTTTTTTTTTTTTTTTTTTTTTTTTTTTAAAAAATGTATAACAAAACACGCACGAGCTTTGAACGAGCATTTTTACGCAAGATTGTACCACGTGTTATCAATCAGAGATAAAAAAAAACCTCGTATTGCTTTTACGCATCGGCTCGATGCACATCCTGCAGAATCTAATCAAGTTATACAAGCGAAGGATCGAATTTGCGAAGTTTCGCGGATTTTCACACTTCATTTCGTGTATTCATATACGTATCGCGAAACGCACTTTCGGCAATTGCATGCTTATCTCTACGGATCGTCGGTCTCGATTCGCGTCTCGTGTGCGCGACGTTTTAATATTTAAATTACATCAGCGGTATAATTGGAAGCTCCTCGCGCGGTCTACCAGCAGCTGCTCTTTATCGCCGAAGGCTGACAGGGAGATCGCGGCTTCTTTATTTGCTTCGTGATAAGCGCTTTTCCGTCGCATTGACATTGCGGATCGCGCGCTCGAGATGTTGCTGCGCGGAATTGCATTCGCGGAGGCGCGTCGTAATTCGGCACGACGCGTCCTTAAAAGCCGCGACAAGACACAGGGCAATAATGGATGCGAAAGAGACGTCGCGTCGGATGTCTCCCACGATGGATTCTTAACGCGACATATGCGCACGATGACAATGATGGCTTATCAATCCACGGAGCAGCCACTGTCCCCCGTTTTTTCAACCTCGTTTGTAAGTTGCGAAAAAATGTAAATTAAAAATTGGGGGAATAATATAGCGGCGCGATAAATAAGATACATGTCTTTTTTAAATAAGAGAAGCGTCTACATGTAATTATATATATATGTATATTAAGCTGTTATTGCCACCGGTTGCGTCAGCGAGTTGTTGCAGATTGCGTCACACCGCAACAAAATTTTCTGATTTTAAAATATGAAATACTTTATTCGACATTTTTGCATTCTCAGATAGAATCTGTATTAAATTAAGTAAAAATCGCAATTGTTTTGCTCAACGCATTATGATGAATATGAAATTTCCATTTATATGTCGAAATAATAAACAATAAGCGAACCAGTTTCTCCCACTCTGTGAAAGCTGTCATTTATCTCGAAGAGATTTTCTTAACTCATATCTGAATTTAGTAATGTAACATTGATCACGTTGAACTCATTTAGAGTACGAAATACAGTGTACGATCAATGCTCATCGATTGGTATACATACGAGGTAGATGAAAGATACACTTGTGATTATTTCGCGAAGTTAAACCAGAGATCTTTAAATATTTTATTTACCATTACTTAGGGAATATGTCGTGAATAATTTGCTTCTCAATTTTAATATTCGTTCCACCTCTCGAGAATAGGTATTGAAGAGTTTAAAATAATTTGCTGTCGAATATATCTCTCAACGTTTGCGGACTTTTTAGTCTTCTTTTTTACCTTTCAAAATTCTCTTTCTTTTAGCTACGCCGTCAGAATTATTATTCATTACTGGAATTATTAGATTTTGCACGTATTTATATTTATATTCAAAGTGTGTCCTTTAAATATTTTCTGCTTTATTTTTACACGTCGTATGCGTGAGTAGCTTTCGCGATCGTCTATGCTAATCTTGGAGGAAATCATCAATTGAGGGTAGAGTCGGCACAGATCGATTATCTGTCTTATGACATTTTCACGTTTCGCGTTTTTCTCGCGTAGAATATAACATTGTTTCTCGTAACCTTGCGCCACGTTGCTTTGCGAAGCTAAAGTCGTCCAAGAAGATCGGAAAGTGAAATTGACGGCGAAACACTAACGAGCCTTGACTGACGTGTAGAAAGAAAATGTGCAAAATGCGTCTCGGGTAACTTCCGATCGCGCAGCTGCACCATGTCCATTATGATGTTGAGGTTTGTTCATAAATATCTTCCGCAAATTTACGTAACGCCCGTATTTTACCTTCTCTCTAGACTTTATTGATCGTGCCCCGCGTAAATCAAAACGACACGTGTCGCATAATTAAAGTCGTCTCTGACGTCCCAACTCTTGTCGATAACAATACGATTCTATATGTGTTAGTGACTATAGTTGCAGTGTAATCGCGATTAAAATTATCACCGTATCGTTCGCGCTGATATGATATCGATGACGGATTATCAAGAAAAAAGAAATGAATTGTTGTAAAATTGACAATTATCAGGTTTATGGTGTCTCTCTGACTGTTTCTACAAAATAAATCATCTGTTTTATTTATTCTAAATATAATAAACATCTAAATCTATTCATTTTTTTTTAATAAGGTTGTAGCTCTTTAGTTTTTAAAATTATACGTTTAAAGATGACTACACTGAATTTAAAATCCGTATCGATCTTTCAAGCATTTGTGTTGATAAAATCAAAGCGATCTTTGTTACGGCGCGGAATACGAATATAGTAGACAATATTGTTGTAGGAACAGTCGAAATGACTGTGCTGTCTGGAGTCAGTGTCCTGAAATAAACTCGGTAGAACCGGAAGACGAGCAAAATGAACGCGTTCGCCAATGCGTTACCGGCCTAAATAAGCGCGATGATTTAAATACGTGTATCTCCCACGTGTATTTAGGGGTTCGGTAATTGCGAAATCTTCCCTTCAAAAATAATTCGCATTTATTTTAGCTCTATGACATGCAAGAAGAAAAATTTACTTCGTTCCGTGCTCTCTGAAATCATACATCTATAATACAATTCAGCTGTGAAGTTTATTTAAGTCACAATATATTGAATAATTGAAAAGTTTATTTCCGAAATTAAAAAAATAATTTTATAGGGAAATCTCTTTCTAATCTTTTTAAAAGCAATTTCAAAAAAAAAAAAAAAAAATTAAAATAGCAAAAATAATCTCTCGAATTTTAGAAAGATTTCTCATACATTGATTAAAACAGTCAATATTTAATTTCAGGAAAGCGAGGCGATATCGCTCGTCGCCACAGCGTCCAAGCTGGCCACCGTGGAAGATGTGGGTCCAAAGCGGCCCGAAGGCCCCATCCGACCATCCGCCGCCTCCCTAAAGGTTTCACCCACGGCCAGGGCGACTCTCCAGGCATTACGGTCACCGAAGAGCAAGCTAGTCATCCCCGTTAGTACCCGCGACGTTGAGACCATCACGGGTAAGATAGAAGACATATATATTTTTATATACGTACCAGCTGTGCTGCTTGAACGATGCTGTGGGGCAGTGTTCAAGGTTCTATTGGTTTTTTTTCACCGGGTATCTGATTATATTAGTTACACAATCAAGAATCACGATATCACGTATGCAAGTATGATTATAATTTTAAATGGATTGATTATTAAATACAATAAAAATAAATTTTATCGTTTTCGATAAGAGAATTTTTTTTGTAAACGAGAGTATTTTAAAGAAATTTGCGCGTTGATCTTGTGATCTTTTGAGTATATCGGCAAACAGTATGCGCGCGGATTTACTACATCTGACGTTGTAAGCGTACGAGGAGAAACTGTCTTTGACGGTGCTAGTACGAGGAGTTTTATAAAGTGCTCTACGGCTTACCTGTTTCAAGCCTCATGGTGTTTCCCATTGGCCTGAGCTAAATGATGATTACTCCTGCCCGGCGGATAATACGCCACGCTCCATTCTCATCATCATGATCGTCATCATCATTATCGTTATAGTCATCATCATCATCATCATCATCATCATGAATTTTTGTCTTCGTCAGCATCATACTCGTAACCATCATCATCATCATCATAATCATCATAGTGACTAGAAATGATGATCGTCGTTGCAATTATTTTTGTTATCGCAGACATCTGCAAATACATATTCATACACTTCGTATTGATTGTGACACCTGAAAATGCGTTCAATAAAATTGTCGGAACAGCTTTCAAATATGAATATTATTATATTTCGCGATCTGCGTCTAAAATATCGAGAACACGTTAATGCAGATCTTGAAATAGGCGACCTACAAAGGGCTAGTTTCGTAAACGTTTCTAAAATCTAAGCCAAGATGTGTCATCGCTTTGTGCACTTTCGAGAAGATCTGAGTATAATTAATTTGTTTGCATTGATCGAGTCATAGTATTTTTCGATCAATCAATATCTTCGAACCTTTAGATTACGTGCGAAATTTTATGTTGACGATTTAGCTGATACGTTAGCGGAAAAGTCTCTCGTACGCGCAATTAAGATTTATACTATTAGGCATATATTAGTTTATTCTCGTCTATTATATAATGCAGGCGTATGCATACTACGCGCGTTTTTTTTTTTTTAGAGGTTTGGTTGACATCGTGTAGTTTGCCAGCAACCTTGTCGAAGTTTCTGCTACGTTAGTGAAGATTTAAACTGATCGATCGCTTGTTCCATCTAAAATGTTTCTATATTTTAAGAACTAACATTTTTTTCTCTTAATAAATTATTACCTTTGGTTTATGCACGTGTCAAAAGAGAACCATTATAATAATTATTCTTAAAATATATTTTTGTATATGATTATTTTAAAGAAAATCTAGAGAGAGAGAGAAGAAAGATACCAATTAAAAAAAAAAATTTTAAATAATTGAAGATTAATTATATGTAGAAAAAGTTCTATGAATATATAATTTTTAAATTTATCTTTTGATGCGAAGATTTAATTTTTTAATTAGATTTGTTCTGGATAAATGACTCGATCGTGGGAATCGAAATTGGACAAGCTCCAACTATACTGGTCGCTGCTATTTTCCTCCATCGCCACGTCCATTCGAAGGAGTTGTTCGGCGGCTCGCGACTCAAAAAGAACGTTTCCCGAGTTCGTGAACGATCGCCATCGATGATAGATCGCGAGGAGTTACGTTTTGTCGCGTAATCACCAAAAATAAAAATTGTTGGACACCGGTGTCGTTCACTGTGAATTAGAGGACATAGAGCACGCGACGCGACCAATATTGTCGATTACGCCATCGATTTCGCCATAATTCTGCGCATCGATAAGGCGTACTCTCACGTCTTACACAACTTAATTCTTCACAGCTGTCGGGATAAAAGAATTTACAAACGGAACCACTTACACAGATGACTCATTGCAAATGCACTCGATGGATTATTGGATCATATGTTCCTATTTATCGATCACATTAATATGAAACACGGCGCTTTCTCCTATTTGCTACGTTATGTAAAAAAAAGACTGACTTGAGTACTGACGTGCTACATAATTCGCAATGATGAGGAATTTTATGAATTATTTTGTAAGGGAAAGTTACATATATTTGTAGGAAAGAAAAAAAAAAAGATTCTCTCTTTATACATTTTGCGAGACATTTCGTGTCGTTACACTCATAAAGCATATACACTATCAGTTATTAAGCAATCCGTATAAACGTCTCGGAGGTCATTGTCTCGGGAACTAATTACGCAAATCTCTTGGCACGTCGATTTTCAATTCGATCGGACAATTTGGGAGCTCGCAAAAGTCGCGAAACTTGATCGCCAATGCCTCGATGGATCATCGCCAGTTCGGTTTTACGTAATTCATGAGTTTCGGGGATCGAATTTCCTCAATTTCGTGGACGGCAAATTCGAGCTTGCATAATTCAACACGCATAACATCTTAATGAAGACGATAGAAGGACGGGGAATTTGGCCCGTGCCGGACGTGGGATTATGTACCTAGGCGGGAAGGAGATGAGAAGGCCCAAGGGCCCGGCGAAACTCAAAGGCATTCTCGAGAAGCGCGAGGCTGTGCTTAGCAAGTGGCGAGATGGTAGGATATTTGCTCGTAGTATTCTTATTCGAATTTTGCGTGCGAATTATCAATTCTCCCGTTATCAATTGAACATACTAAATCGTTTCACACTGTTGGGCCGGCGAAAAAATAAAATGCGAATATTGAGAAACAAATTAAAACAAAGCCAGGATTTATTCTTTAAAAAAAAAAAAAAATGAAAAATAGTATATTCTGATTATTTTGATTACGAGAGATTTTTTTGTGAGTTAATAACTGATCGATTCGATTAGGTTTAAATATTAATTACTATTTGTGTCGATTAATTATTAATCATATAAATGAGTAATAATTTATTGCAAATTATTATTATTTAAATAATTTATTATTAATTGATGATAAAAATCATTTACATAAAGTATATACAATGCCATATATTTACATATTTATAACTGATTTGTGTTTGTATTCAAAATTTGTATTGCATATAAATATATAGGGTGTTTAAAAAAAAAGAGTAAAATATTTTAAGATTTAGTATGCCCAAAAACAAGTCGAAAAGTCTTAATAAACATGGATTCGCAAATCAGCCGTTTGTGACATTTTTATTTTTTTGAGAAATTTATAATATCTGAAAAACGGCTCATGATTATTAAGACTTTTCAACTTGTTTTTGAGCATAAATCTTCTTAAAATATTTTACCCTATTTTTAACCTGTGTATTATATATAACCTGTGTATTGCATATAATTTACTGTTTTTAGATTTGTTAATAATATGAATTTTGTGGAAATATATCATATATATGAATATGACATAATTATATGCATAAAATTCCGATATAAGTATAAACATTTTTTTTTCTTTATCAATATTTCGCTTATATGTTACCGATGCGATCTGCAGTTGGTAACGATATTAAATATCTATTATCTTCTGCAGTGTGCATGTCGGTGATTTATCTTCTTACGTGAGATCGCCGATATGTGGCAGCACGTACTCTGCATTCAAACTATTTTCATCACGTGACCAATGTCTTCCTGCATAGCGAGGAGGTCGGATTTAATCTCGTAATCAAGGATCTTAAATTAATGAATATTGGTCTCTAGTCATAAAATATATAAAAGAGAATTACGGAATAACAGGTATAAAATTTATATTTTAAATTTCTATGCTTTATGATTCTTTTTTTAAAACATCGACAAGATTGACTGTAAAACATTGGTGCAAAAGAAATTATTTGAGATTATTACACAAATAATTTGCGAGACAATATTACGTATAATAAAATTTTATCGCATAAATGATGCTAGTAAATCGCGAATAAGACTAATGTAAAACATTTTGTGTAATCTCGATTAATTATATATTAGAATACTTTATCTACTCGCACGAGTTCATCCGTTATATGAATCTGGCGCGCGAGAAGAGAAATATTTTACTTGCGCATTTTTAAAGACCATTACATCCTTGTTCGACATATTCTCAATGCGCATGTAACTCCCGTATATGAATCTGCCAGATACATAAGTCCTACATGCGCGATCCAGTTTCCATAATTCAATTCGAACGAGGGTGTTGAGAACCGGCTGCACGAACTTAACTGTCTTTCATTAATGTAATCTGGGAAATTTTTTGTTGAAAAGAGCGCGTGGCTCGACTTCACCGAACAATCGTTGGGCGACTGGTAATCTGAAACGTCATCTCGATTATGTGTTAAACCGCGATAACTCTATGCGGCTCGAAGCTCTTCTCCGCCACGGGTCATCTCTATCTCACGAGAGACGAACGCATCGAAAGTACAAAGTTCAGGCAAAGTGATGAGGCGCTTCTCGATCCAGTCGGTATCAGCAGTTGCGAGCAATTGCGCCGGCGTTGCATAGATTATTCCGTGTTTTTCCTGAGAAAATGGAGGAAATTTTTCTTCAGTCGCTATGATACGTTTTACCGCTCCGTGACTGCCAAGACGATCTCTCGAATCGCGTATAATGTCAGGTTAGTAGTGTTAATTCTATTGCCGAGAACCTCGAATGCTCACCTATTCCAAGCCAATCCAAAAGCGATTTCACGATATTGTATATACTGCGCAATATGTTGTATAATCGCGGTTTAGTTCACCGACAAATTTTAATTACATTTACAAAATATATCTTTTCTTGGAAGAAAAATTAGACATATTAATTAAAATATCACGATTTTTATTGAATTAAATTTGAGGTACATGAATATTAAATTAATTATAAGATCTTTAATTGTGATATTTGATTTTTTTTTTTGAAACTTAAAGGATTGCATGATATGACAACACATTCCACTAAGAATTTTCGCTTATTATTAGAAGACACCATATTTAAAATCTTTTTTGAGAATCTGTTATTAGAGTTTACTGCATATATCTCGATGCATCAGTTTCAAAGTGCATCTACATGCGCGCTTGGCGCATTTATGCTCTTTCTCCATTGAAGGGCTCCTCTCGTTTGCGGTTAACCGCGAATCCCTCCTCCTTCTGCTGTACCGTAAGGAACTTTTTGTCACCCAGGTCACGCACACTCATCTTACATCGCAGATCGCAGGTAGAAGATTTTAGCGCGCGGTGTACAACATGACGCGCGCTATACGTTGAAATAACTTTACAATATACAACGATATAAAGGAAATATAATTATAACAACGTTATATGTATCTTGTGTGTTATGTGCGTGCATTCAAAATAATAAAACCGTAATTAGGCAAGTATAAGATTCACACTTATGCTCACATTGTATGAAATTGACGAAATTTTTTGTACTCTTCTCTGTTATATTATTATTTCTGTAAAAACGAAATGCTTATCGAATGTTCTATCATGTAAAAAAAATCGTTCGTTCTTGTTATTTATTACGCTTCTTCTTATGTGTATGATATAAACTATTACGCCAACGCTATTATTAAATCACACTGTCACCATCTTGACTCGAGCACAACATGAGTGACGGCGGAGAGAGTGATATCGCGATTTCTCGCGTTCTGGTCGCGCAGTGAACTTAACGCGACGAAAAGATGCGTACGCGTTTCATCGCATCGTAATTTTAGCATGCACGTTACGGATCGCGAGATGACGTCGTGTATGCGTTCATGATGTATGTATATAATTATGTACGCTCGAGTATGCGCGCGATTTAAAGCGGAACGGCAATTTGCAGCGCGCGCGTAATTGACGCCTTCGTACTTAGTAACGTCATGGTGGATGCTGCTTGATTGTTACAGATGTATGCAGCGGAGAAGAGCTACCAGAAGTCGAGATAATCAGTCTGTTGGAGGAGCAAATACCGAGATATCGTCTTCGAGCCGATACCTTAACGCAATTTCAAGGTGAGCTGTCTGTTTCTTCTTTTCTCTCCTCTTGAAACGTCAGCTATTACGTCAAACGCATTTCACGCATTCACGTTTAGCGTGAGCGAAGAAAATAGACTGCTCTTAATATAAATAGCGTTATAAAGAGTTTTATTGGAAAAATCAATCTCCCCGGCATTTTATTTGAAAATATATATTTCCGTGGTGATCTACACACTTTTTTTAAATATTGTCGCATTGAATTCATATCACATGATTTATCCATGGCAATAAAAGGTAGCTACAATAAATATGTCGATAATGATCGATGAATATATTAGATAAATTTGGCAAGTTATATCAATGTCTCATGTCAATTAAATTGACGAGGAAAATATATATTTACTCATTTTGTATAATTATCGCAAAGAGAAAAACATCTCTTGACATAATTTTATCGATCATTTCTAATATGATGACGCATTTGATATGAAAGGGTACATATTGAAAATCTAAATGAATAAAGAAAACCTTTATATGCTAAAAAGGGTGCAACTCGTACGCGATCGAATGTCGTTCATCTTAATTAAACAAGGAAGCCTGTTACGGTGACTGTACCCATAGGACAAAAGTTTCACAACGTCATTGTACGAAACTCCGGGGTTTCATATACTGAAAATAAGGGTTTCCTCAAGCACGTTAACTTTGCACTACTAACGGTTACATTTTACTTATTATTTATTGAAAAGTTATTTTTTTTATTACCATAAATAAATTATTTTACGTGATATGAATCCAATGCGATAATAATATGTACGTATAAAAATATGTTGGAATTAAAATAAGCATAGAAATAAAAAAGAGGTACAGAAAAAATTTTATTCGCCTATATATTATAAAAAGAAAGTGAAAAAAAAAACACATAAAATACATAAAACATAAAGAATATCATTATTTACGCATCGTTTTCCATTAATGCATTAGACGAAGGATAGCACAAGCCGATTGATTAACCATTAATTTGATCATAGTGGCCCGTATCGTGTGTTCCGTCAATAAAACGAAGCTCTAAAAGGTGCGCCTCCCCTCTAGGGCCGCGCCTAATGTACGCGTGTATTTACTAATTAGCTACAGCACATTTAGTTCGTCTCGCGCGCGAATTATAACACGCGAGCAATGTGCGTTTTTTTTTTTTTTTTTTGGTATTCGTCTTCGTAGAACGGATATGATCATCGCATTAATTAGCAAGGTAATACATTGCCCCCGTGTATACTATGTTCTATCATAATATGCAGACCGAGGCGCTTAACACATTTTTCAATCTCCGTTGCAACGGACGGGTAAACTAGATTGTTGCGCGTGAATTCGGAGCATGTCGATTCTCTGTAGAATTTAGATTAGGCCGATTGCGATAAGATGTTAAAAGGAGCGTATTGCATGTTATTTATAGGGTACGAGAACGCCGATTGGTTTATTCCGTCACCTGCGCTCAGATCGGAGGACGTCGATTTGAAATTATCGCCGGATCAGATCCGGGAGACTCTTAACTACTTCAGTAAGTGTAATTTTCAACTTATTTATCGATGTTTGTGTGAAGTTTTTTCTGTAGATTGTATAAATGTAGAAAATATAATATTTAAATCAAAATAATTCGAGGGAAGCAGAGAGGCCGGAAATACAATTCGCGATTATTTTATCTTGTACCAATTAAGAATAATTTTTTTAATGCTTTAATATAAAAGCCCGAGTCTATATGCACTTTCGTTGCAAAAATGTAATTTCTTTTTTTAATACTAAAGTAATATTTGAGATTCGTAATTGCGTTATTCGTAATTTGATGCGCTTACACAATTACAATCTAATTACACCGTATTATCGTAGCCATTAAAATGTAATAGCGCAGAAATTGAAAAAATACCGTAACACAGGAAAAACGGAAATGAAGGAAGTAAGGGATCCATCAATCGTATACGGCGTAGAGATCGCAATATTAATGCAATAAGTCGCTTAATCGAAAATATCGTCGACCCGCGTAGTGCGATGGTAATCGCTGTTCGCTCGCGCGAGTGCAATTCTACGATGCGTGGAAAGTGCACAGAAACGCGAAGAAATAAATACATCTTGCTAAACGAGATGGAAAAGTGGAGGATTATCACCGGGTATGCGTGTACGTCCAGGTGTTGAAATCGCGCGGCGCTATTATTATAATTCGCGGAACTGACAGATTTCGCGCGAGAGATTTCGCGAGTTCTCTTTCGTAAAACATGGGGAAAAAAAAAGAATAGCTTGACACGATTTTCCCGCACGAGCGAAAAATTATTCGCTACGCGATGCGGGTGCAAGTGTCGCGACGAGATATCTCGCGTGTCACTGATTACCGTGTCTCTCTATATTCTTGAAACACACACACACACAAATGTAATGCCACGATTTTATTTTCATTTACATGCTCCAGATACCGCGTAGAAAGAATAACATCTGATTACCGAACGATCGCATTGTACGCTGTGAAATGACGTTTAATAGGGAAAATTTGATTTGTGTCATGCGCGTAGTTCATTTTCTCCGCGAGGAGAATTGTTCGTGGAAAAGGGGTTTTTGGAATATTTACCATTTAATATATTCTATTTTTGACATAATACGTATGTATTCTATTTAAATACCAAGGTCTTAAATGCAGAAAAATTGGCGTACTATATTCGATTCAGAATTTTATTCATAATATTATACGAAATATACACAAACAGATCTATTTTTTAAATGACGTTTCATTTTGCTCAAAGCTGATATTCTCCTTGGCAGTTTAAGGGAGATCATTGCGACCTTACGGTTTCTTTACGGAACACCTCGTTGCGCGGAAGGAGTCGATATTTATGCACAGTCAGGTCAGATGTTCTTATGACTATCGACGATTACGGGAGAGAACGGTATCTAAGATGTACCAGTCTATTTATTAATTGGTACGCGAAAGTATCTCCCTTTCTCCCTATCTCTATCATTCATCATTGAGCCTTTCGTTCATCTCGTTTCTTCTCACACATTATACGTCTATTTATTAAATGTCATTGACATAACAAAATATATTTTTCTATTATAATTAAAATTATAAAATTATGAAAAAACTCAGGATTAATAATACGTGTATAAAAATACATATAATAAGAAAGGATATGATATTACAGATTTGTGTAAATTATGTTATTTTTCTTGTGTAATTTTAATTATAATAGAATTTCTATATTTATTTTGTAAAGATAATCAGGACTGTATATCTCATTGTATACAATGTGTTATGTTGATTTATATAAAATACATACGCTTTTAACGATACGGTCTATTTTAAAATAAGCAATATGCGGAAGCAATAATACAGAAAATGAGAGAAAACACAATAAAAATAGAGACACGCCCGATATCGATTAGATTCATTAGCAAGTACTTAGTATACATCGTATTCTCTTTCGTTAATCATTTATTCAATTGTTTTTATATCTCGTAATGACAAGTAAAAAGAGAAATATAATATCTCAACTTGTTTGTGCAGATATTTCAATAATCATAGAGGATATAATTAATACTTAATGCAACCAAGGAGCCAATAAAAAATATTTATATATTTTTTAATATATTAACTTTCTCTCTCTCTCTCTCTCATAAAGTTATCTGCAAAAATAATATTTCGTTCGTTCATTCATCTTTATCATTGCTTTATCATTGCGGGACGAGTTTATTCGCGCGTCTCTCTATCGAATGATGATAAGAACTTCTCATTCCGCCTCTCTCTTACTCTCCCACATAGGATTTAATTATATTATTATCGGAGGCCACCCCATTTACACAACTAATCACCGTTTTCCGTGTTATTACCGAAGATAATAATGAGAATCCTCTCACAATCGCGGGGTGGAGGTATGCGCGAGATTTCATTGTTAGCGCGACACACGTGTCTCTTTTTCTTATTATATTTTGCATATACATCGCCTTTTCCTCGAGCACAGTGCAAAATGGTGAAACTTCACAAGACGGAAGGAGAATGATACGACAGTTTCTTTTCTGTTTCTTTTTTTTTCGGTTCCCACGACAACTCCCTCATTCTTGTTTTCTGACATTGCGAGTGATTTCTCCATTCAACCTTTCGTCGCATCCGATGTAGAAAGTTGTTTGCAGGTTTGTTATTTAATTGTACTATTCAGTATCGGTTGTTATCCCTCCTCCCCTTCTCCATTTGTTTCTCCGATCGATTCGAGACGCCACTTTTCTCATCGGTTGAAGAAACAAGGAAGTCAAACATACTTCTTAATGTTGCGACGTATTAAACATAGCAAATATATTAATACGTTTATTATGCAGTTAATGATTTTATTTGATTACCTGTCATTTACTCATTAAACCGCGAAGATGTTCCGCGGTTTTTATACAGCATTTTTTTTTCCAGTAATAAAGTAAAATCAGCTTCGAGAGTTCTTTAATGATAGGAATAATGGATTTTTCCTGTATTGCATGAGAAATGTTATTTATATTAGAGAGTATATATTTATTTATATAAGAGATAATATGTCCAAGATTCCAAGATGTACATTGAGTTTAATATAATTGCCTTCGATTACTCTTCCGCTCCAACATTTTTTCTCTAATCTTTCTCTCACCAAGAAGATTAATGTGTTTTATTTATAGATTTTTATAATTGTATAGACATAATTGATCATATTTCTATGTATTCACTAAGTATTATAAGATCATTAACTGTGTTGTGCGTGAAGATATTCCAAAAAATTTAATTCAAAAATATTTCAGGCCGTTTGTACCAATATCGTTACACGTGATAAGATCTATCTCTTTAAAAATTTCTCCTAAAGTATTTAAGTGAGAAATAAAATGTAAAATATTAGCTTTTGTTAGATAATATATTATTTATTAATAATGTATTAATAAATAAAAATATATCTCTCTTGTTAGTGAGTGAGAACTACGGATGCTATTTTGCATTTTAAGGATTGCAACTACCCGTTAGATCGTCCAAGCAAAGAGCAATGCTTTCTCAAGGAATATCTTCCAAGCGCGTTCACGGTATCCTGAAATATCATCTCCTGAAAATGTCGGATGCCCCACCTGTACTTAATATTCCCGTTTATCATCAATCGTCAAACAATTCGACAACGCAATTCGCATTCCTTTTACCAGTCACGATTATCTTGCACGAAAGGATTATTGCCTATCACAAAATATGAATCAGTTTTGACTCATTGTCAAACATTTTACATAGCAATTGCGCATTTAATAATAAAATTACGTAACATGTGATATTACATCAGGCTGCTAAAGAAAAAAATCGATCAGAATGTCAGATATATAATACTTTTAATAGAAATATGATGGATGAGGAAATTCTTCGAGAGAGAGAGAGAAAAAGAGAGAATCGTGACCACCTGAAATAGTTCATAATTAAAAACGTTATACCTTTCAAAATGATCACCCCCCTCCCCCAATGCAACACATAGTACGACAGAGTAAACCTTGATCTAATTCTCCCCATGTGACATCACACATGTCGCCGTTCTCGCCGCATGCGTACACATTTACGCATATCTTTTTGTATGATTTTTCAATTTTACGTTTATATCAGAGTTCTTTTAACAATAATTATGAATATTTAATTTTGCAAATTTTACACGTTTTCGATTCTTCGAAAGTGTACGAACAAGTCGATGTTACATACGAATTTAAATATCCTGGATTGTAAAAAAATGATTCTCATATTTAGCACGCGATAGATTGATATCGCGCGCAATTTACATGCTTCGAAAACAACGTCCGTAATCTTATCACCGCCAGCTCGTTGGAGGGTGGTCGCGATCAACTCCGGGATCAACGAGCGCATCCTCGTTTAATGAAGCTTTCCTCGCTCGTGCTATCCACCTTGCACGTTCAACGCACTCGACGAACTGGTAGGCAGGAACGGGCTCCGCCAATCACGTGGCGCGACACTTCAAAACGAACGCTCGCCGGCCGCTTCACGACCGCGTGCAGCTCAGTCACGCTCGTGTAGCCGCGACGTTTGCATCGTCGCGCGCTCGTGCCGCCGACTTTGTCACGCCCGATCTCGTCGCGAGGTTAAGCGCGCGACGACGGTTGCGTGCCGCGTTTCCCGTCCAGGGTGCGCGAAGAGACGTTTGACGTAGCGAGGAGAGCACTCGTCGGTCCACATAGTGCACGGTACGTCGGGCATGCGCGACAGAAGCCGTTCTCCGGTAGTTGCCGCCCGTATCCGGATTCTGCAAGATCTTACCCCGCTCGTGCGCGCGACGAAGCGACGAGATTCCCTCCCGCGAGATGCGTCGCGACTCGACCGCGTTATCGCGTTATCGTCGACGCTCGAGCATCGTTGATGACCTCGCGACGGGCGTTCTTCCAGCGCTCGAAAGGAAACTGGATTACCGAAAATCTCGAAGCTTAACTCGATCTCGACAATCCGGTGTGGTGCCTAGGTTAGGTCGCTCTGGAAGCAGGAAATTGGCCACGAACGGATCGAATCCGCTCTTTTCCATCACCGTACGTACACGCACATATACGTGCCTAGAAGACGAATTATCACTTCCGTCGAGAGACGAAACGCGTCACGTGCTCGTGATATTCGAGATATACGAAATGTGAAAGAATTCCACGAAGTGGTGACGAGGAATTGGATTAACACATTTACGAGCGAGAAAAACATCGAAGAATTATCGCCGAGAGCAACGATTGGCAATTTATCTTACTCGTATATTTCTTTTTCATTAGATTTTATTAATCATGACCATGGAACAGAGTCAACTTTGCTATAAAGTTACTGCTTCTAAATTGTCATTATACTTCATTTTTTTATAATCTTTTTATATTTTATAGAAAGCACGTTACGTTTATATTTTTTTTTTTTTTCGAAAAAATTGATTATTCTCTTTATTTTCCATGCAAAATTTATTTATTTATTTATTTATTTATAAATACGGAAAAGAAGCCCCTTTTGTATAAAAAAAAAAAAATTTAATAACAATTTTAATATAATTTTCAAAATCAAATTTAAAGCATGTTTATTTCCGCGTGCATTATGATTCATAAGGATCGAATCTCGGGGGGGGCTAATTGCAGAGGATAATGACCTTCGCTCTCAAAATACGAAAGGATCAGACGATCTTTCACCCGGACCGCGATGCAGTTTTCCATGAAGTACTTCTATTTTCGTCCCGTCATTCTTAGGTAGCGTCACGAAAGTGCGGCCTTGAGTCTCACAGGGGACGACCTAACTCTACCTACCTACCTTACCCTATCTTGGATAATTTGTTCCCTCGAGAATGTTGCTTTACATTCGTGCAAGGACTCGGAGAACGCAATTTCCGATTTTTTTTTTTTTTTTCCAGACGGCGCGGTTATTAATAAAACGCGATTGATTCCGCTCGCTAGATTTTAGATAGCATTCCGCTCGCATCAGCGATCACGGCGAAAAGTTAAGCATTGTTACCGTTACGCAAAGAGTTCGCTGCTCCTGCCGGCCGCAATGCGTAATTAAGGTTGCACGCGTCAATATCGTTCGCATCCGGTGCCATAAATTGGTACCGATCGGTCCAATGTTCCGAGATGAAGTTCCTCCGATCCTAATTGATTTTTAGTATTTGTGATTGATTCGAGTGTCCATCCTCATCGCTTACTTTTCATTAAGAATTTATCTGACTCGGAAAGATCGATATTGCTAAATATTTTTATATTCTTCTTTTCGTATATATATGATATATTTTTATTCCGATTACGTATTAAATCGAAGTTGAAGTAACGCGTTACTTAACTGCACTTAACAATATCGTCAACCGAAGTAGCTGCATGTATTTACATTCACATTAGCATTGTTATCACGTGTAAGAAGAAAAAACGTTACGAGTTAATGACGCATGTGGCAATAAAAAAAATAAAATCCTCTATAAAATCTTTTTATATAATAATAATAATAATAATAATAATATCATGTCAAGGTAGAGATCACAGATCGTGAACGATGGAATTACCAATGATAGCGATCTTGCGTATTTGAAAGTGAATTAGAAAATGAACAACGCGAAAGATAAAAATGAAATATCGCGCGACGAAAACATTTTATCGTGATTAAACCCATGTGTAATCGACACGCACTAAACAGGAATTAAACAGCGATAGATCGGAAAAAACTTCCTGATGAGACGTTGTGTCCGAGCACCATATACATATAATCAGATTGTATACAATTAAAGCTAATTACATTTTTCTACTTTCTCTAACAGTATATTTGAGCAATAATTGCTATGAAATAAATGCAAAGGAATTTTTATATACAAATTTCGAAATACGACACATTATATATATATATATATATAAAGGAACTTTTATATACAAATTCCTTTGCATTTATTTCATAGCAATTATTGCTCAAATATACTGTTAGAGAAAGTAGAAAAATGTAATTAGCTTTAATTGTATACAATCTGATTATATGTATATGGTGCTCGGACACAACGTCTCATCAGGAAGTTTTTTCCGATCTATCGCTGTTTAATTCCTGTTTAGTGCGTGTCGATTACACATGGGTTTAATCACGATAAAATGTTTTCGTCGCGCGATATTTCATTTTTATCTTTCGCGTTGTTCATTTTCTAATTCACTTTCAAATACGCAAGATCGCTATCATTGGTAATTCCATCGTTCACGATCTGTGATCTCTACCTTGACATGAGTTTTATGCATATAAACATGTATTATGCGCGCGATACGTGACGCGATAATTGAGACAATACCAGATGTATTTTTTTTTTTTTTTTTTTTTTTTTGATCTCCGTATTAGAATTTCCTATAGACGTATTCGAAATTCCTTTCCCCGTTGCTCTACTTTAATCTTTGTATAAATACTCGTTCGGTCTATGCCATTTGACACAATTCCTAGAATGTCGTTGGACTACGTGGTTTCAAATTATTTTTAGAATTGTACGACGTTTATACTCTACTACCGCGTGTAGCGAATAAATTTTCTCCGTGCATGTAAATATCATACATATATTCTATTCATTTATAAGTTCATGGCAGAGTAAACGTCTTTTCGCATGAAATTATTGTTCTCTTGCAATTATTGCGCAATGAGATGTGACGGTAACGATTAACGTTAATTGCGTATATCGTTCGCGATCGTAACGGGACGCGTAAAATTTATCCGACACGTTTAGTCTAACGGTGATAACGTTTTCTTTTTCGTGCTTTTTACTTTTTCATTAAAGATACGCGTAACGGATGTAATTTTGATCGGACATCTGCCTCGAAGAAAGCGGATTTTTCCTTCGCCTTCCCTTTGTACTTTCTCCGGTTCGCGCTGTCCCTAAATACGTGCATGCAAATCGGCAGTTTCGAAAAACGAATCCGTCACGAAAAACTGACTCGTCCACCTTCGAGCGGCGAAAGCGTTCTTCGCCGACACGATTTCGTCGATTTAGGGCGATCGATCTGCTGGGCTGAAATTATCGCAAAAGGGGATCGCTCGATACCGTTCGTTATACCCTATACACGCGGTTGAATATACATATAAGTACTTGTTTCTCTTTGAGATTATAATTTTTGAGTACATCCGTTCATCATTAATGCCCGGAACTTCATATTGTACTTTCACGAATATCAAATATTAACGAGATCTTTTCAATCGCAAATCATTTTATGAGTTATATTATTGTGCAATTGGGGCACTTTCGAAAAAGAAGAAATAATACTAATTATCAAAGTTATTTGAGCTAATATTTACATGAATTCTCTACAAAGCCGAAAATGCGATTTTAGATCTCTAATAAATTCGTTTTAATGGAGAGAGAAAGAGAAAATATTTTTAAAATATTTTACTTGACGATATAGTTGCGTGCACGTTCTTATATCTAGAATTAAATATAATATATTAGAACGATCGATTATCAAAAAGATTTTTTTTAGAACTTGAACTGCGTCAGGTTTATTCGACTTTCGGCGTCTGCGGACCTTGATACATTTCGTATGAATGCCAATCGGGTGACTCACGATATCTCTGGTTATTTCGATGCTCCGTTTTGATAAACTTACGTTTACTTCTTTCTATCTTCGCCACAATATCGAGAGAACCTTCCTTTTTAATCAATACTTACATCTCGATGGACGTTATGGTTGCAGTAGCACCGCAGACTATATATTCGCGTGTACAGCGCGATACAAACGATATTTAATATACAAAATTCAATTTTGTTATATAAATATAATTATATAATTATTGTTTTATGAATATTTTTAAGCCAGGAATGGATAAAACTTGGCTGTCTAATCTTTACGTAAATTAAAATGACGGCGATTCATTTCTTCGCAGCCAATTTCCAAGCGATTCATGCTTGTAAAGGACGATTAGTTGCGCGTATTGCTTATCAAGCCTTGAAAAATTTCTAATGCATACTAAAATTAGTTCTTTTATAGCTCGGGTCAAGCGTTCTCGGTCTTATCGTATTACGAGTGCCACGTATTCCAAGCACTAAATGTGTGACATTAAATTTTGCAGGGAAATACTTCATTATAAAAAATATTTTACGATATAAAAAAAGAATTCCAAGAATAAAACGATATACATATATATATTTTCTTTTTTTTTTCTTTTTAATAAATGTATCGTAATTTCTTTTTGGTAATGTATGTTATTATGGAACTTATAATCCTTGATTTCTGAGTCCTTTCTTATTAGTTTCTTATTATATCTTTGACATTCTGATAATAGATCATTGCATCATTTTCTGATTTGCGATCGAGTTAAGCAACTATCGTACATATCGACGGTAAAAGTATAAAAAGTGCAACGACATGAACTAGTTTAATGAGGAAATATAACTTACGACGTACATGTGCAGGTTTATACGTGTATGGACTCCAAAGACTGGATAAATTTATATGTGTTACTGCAAGATTAATATTGATTTCCTGCATTCCCTATAAAAGACTAGATACGCGTGAAATGTTCATGGAAAATAAAAATTATTATTGAATGAAAAGAGACCGCGTGACAAATTATCAACTATTCGATGATTTTGTGGAAAATCAAGACGAAAGTGATAACGCAAAATATCTTCTTCTTTTTTTTTTTAAATTAGAAAACAATGACTTATATAAGGAACTGTGTTAGCGATAAATATCCTCGTCTTTTGGATATTTACTGATACATTGTGACAACATCAAGACTATAATATTGGACTAACAGGACACACAAGATAACGAGGAAAAAATTTCCACAAAGCATTTTGTACAAAGCTTGCTGTTCGAAGGAGCTTTCAGTCTCCCGAAATCTTGATCGTTCGTGGACAGGGTCATGTCAAGGTCATGAACAGCTCGACTCCTCTTCGTGTGAACAGCGACGCATCTCCGAGCCCTTTGCATTCGCCTTCCTGTCAGCGTGATGAGGCTACCCCGTCGACCTCGAGAGGGAGAAGTATCGGTTCCATTATCGCTCTCGGCGAATCAACCTTCGATAGTCTCGCATTGGACGTTTCCTATGCCGGTTTGGACGTATCCGGAAGCGATTTTGTTGACTCTGGCAGTAAGCGAACGAGACTGAAAGATACATCGCGAGAGAATGCGTCGGATTCGCCACAATTTTGGGAAGATATTGGGGTGGTTGACTATCTCGATAGGAAGCTGGGTCCTCCCGACCAGAGTACACCGGAAGAACGTGTCGCGACGCTCAGGGAGATTCTCGCTGAGAGGACAGACATTCACGAGGGCGCCGGCGATCTCTCGGATTTCCTCTTCCACGTCGCGCGGACTAAACACGGCAAGATATACATAAGAGTTATCCGGACTCTGCTGTTGAACAGAGGTAAATACTGATTTAAATTGCGCCAAATCTCCATCGATTGCGTTCTTAGATATGCGACGTACCTCCTTTTATTAAAGGATTATTGCGTATTTGAAGCTATTTGAATCTGTTTTTATATTCAACGAATATTTAGCAACTGTCTGATTATATTAAATTGTTTTGTATCTAATTATTTATTAGAAGTATAACATTTAAAGAAGGGATGCTGGATACCAACATGATTTTTTATTCTTCTATTTTTGCTGTTGACATTTTCAAATTAAAAACATAACATCGAACTTAATTAACGAAATTAATTATCAAACTACATTTTAATATAAAAAGATTTAATAATTAATAATACAAACAATATAAAAAATATAAATCTAATGAACAATCTTAAAAAATGATTTCATGATATTAAATAAATTACTATTATATAAAAAAATAAATTATTATTTTCTCTTGTTAAAAATTGATAATAATCTTAAAGAGGAAGTTTCTTCGAAACGTTCTCGTATACATGAAGTACCGCGTATAAATTATCGCGACGTTCATCGAAATCGGTGTTCTTTTATTATTTCTTTCATTTCTCGATCGTGATTCTATTGTTTTCCTATACATCGATTCAATATACGTTGCGTAGTTTCGTTGATCTCGCGGTGTATGTTAGTGACGATATCCTCGAGTCCACCCAGTATGTCGGAAATAATTACGCAAACTGTGGCGAAAACGGACGGCGATGATAATGATTGTATCATCAGTCTGGAACTTCTTGGCGATCCTTGCGGCAATAATGCACAGATCCCTTTCGATCCTGAGAGCCATGGACTCTCCGCGGATTTTCAATTAACGAAATTCAGCGATCCGCGAAGAAAGAGCTTGCAATTGGAGCGACAAGAGAGGCAGTCGCTACTCGATCTCTTCCACGAAAAGGTGATTTTCTCGATGTAGAATAAAATTGGCAGAAAGGATTTTTACGATCGAAATAACCATCGGCAATTTCATTTTAGCATTCGCCAATTATTATATAATCTTTTTCGCGTTGACAAGATTTATTTATCAAAAATTATATATTCTGTATGGCAGCTAAATATTTATAATTGATCAGAGTAATCATAAAAAAATATTCTTGGAAAAGCGTTATCTGCATTACTTTTGCAGTTATATACGTTATATTTATTTCTCTTTGCTATATTTAACGAAATATTGCGGAAACGACTTCAGAAAAGCATGGAAAGTTCCTATCTCTTGGTACGCGCAGGATGAAAAGGTGAATCCTTACGCGGCGACGTGCATTCACGAGAACACCCACGTTACAAAGTTGGACGAAGCTGGCGGAATGATACTGGTGGAAACATTCAACGTTATCCCGGCAGTCGTCGACGATCCATATTTGATGGGCAAGATCGCTTACGCCGTCACCCACGGAGGCATTCACTCGCTGGGTCTCTCCAGCAGCTCCAGCAGCAGGATGATCCTCGGCGTTTCCGACGTTATGAAGGACGACGAGAGGAAGACGGTGTCGTCCATGGCGATACGTGGTTACGCGGACGCGGCGAAGACGGCCGTCAAGGATTGTCAGGTCTTCCAAAACTCGTGGTGCCTGTTCGGCGGAATCGCCACGGTAGTGTGCCATCCTTACGAGATAGTCCAACCCGTGGATGCAACCGTCGGTGACGTCATAGTGCTCACGAAACCGCTCGGCACGACGGTGGCGCTCACCATATCAGAATGGATGAAACAGCCTGAGAAGAGGAGCAGGCTAGTGTTGACTATCACCGAGGAGAGCGCCGAAAAGGCTCGTTCCCGAGCCATTGACTGTATGATCAGGACTAATCAAATCGCCGCTACGCTCATGCGAAAGGTTTACTATGTTGAAATTTAATTGGATATTAGTCTCAATTTGTTGTGATATATGACAAACGTTCCGACATGCTGGCGGGGCTTCTAAATAATTAAAAGATAAAAGATATAAAAGAATATTATCTAATTATTGCAAAAAGTCTTCTTTAAAAATAATAGATTCACATTATAGAATCTTTGATTTTAGGGAAAATCACGTGGAGTAATTTAGTCTCATTTAATTTAATATGTGTATCACTATTTACTATTAGTCAGAAATTAATATCTAATCGAGTATTACGTGATTAGAATGTTTCATTCTTAATCTTGATAGTGTCAAGGCTAACGTCAGCAGACGTATAACTCATTAATCAATCCTTGAATACTAGTACAACGCGCACGCCGCCTGCGAGATAGGATCCTACGGTATTCTGGGCCACGCAGATCTCCTGGCGCGACGACAGACAAACGACGTCAGTTTTATAATCCACAATATGCCGGTGATCGCGCGGATGAACGCCACGTCGAAGATCATGGGGAACGCGTTGCCCCTTCTACAGGGTGAAATGCCCGAGGTGTCGGGAGGGTTGCTGGTTGTGTTACCGCGGGAACAAGCGGCCGCGTATTGCAAGGCCCTGGAGGAGATTGAGCGCAGGCAAGCGTGGATCGTCGGGATCGTCGAGAGCGGCGATTACACCGCGCGAGTAATCGAGAGACCACGAGTGATCGAGGTGCCTGTTAAGGATAACGGTGTCTTCTTATGGTAAACAGCCGAAGGATCGCGGGATATCGCTCGTTAAGAACGAAAAAGAAGATAAGATACGGACGAGCAATTTTACATGCTGCTGTTTACGGAATAGAGATATTTCCTCAGATGATAGATTATATAATAGATCGAGCTTAATACAGTAATAGAGTAACTTTATTGATAAGACAGATGCTATTTTATAAGACAGATTATAAGATGCATTTCACAAGCTGACGGATTTAACTAATAAACAATTATGTTGTTTGCATGTATGTGTTTAAGATATATCTCTTGTAAAATTGGAATCTAATAACGGATTGGGGGGGATTTGCAATAAAATTTCGTCAAGTTCAATTCTCGAGACATGCGAAAATGAGAAATAATCTCTGTATTTGTTCCTGACAATAAGAATATTATTAACGTAAGGTTACGCGAACTTGTCAGAGATTGAATCTATCAAAATTATAAGAGATTTAATCGCTGCATATCAACGCATACATTATGCAGTCATTTCTATCGCGACTATGCCAAATTACGATGGAATGATAGCGCTCATATAATGCGCCTAATAGAGACATGCAATTAACAATAATTTACAGTTAATGAAGCATTAACATCTTCTTATGCATCGCCCTTCCGGTTCCCAGGTCATGTGAAATCCGTGAACTCGTCTCGTGCATTTACGCGCGTTTATCTTTTTATCTCTTCCCACAATTACTTCTTTACATGGCACTTTACACGCGAATTATATAGTGCGAGTTCCTTGACACCTGTCGCTCTTAATTACAACGTTATAATTTTACGTCGACTTATCTTTTTTTTTGCTAGGATACCTATCTCTAAAACGATTTTATCTAATTCTTTAGACTTCTTCAGTAATATATTTCTCACCAATGTAAAGCGTTCCAAACAGAGATTAAATTGATATACTTTTCTCGATACTTATAATTCATTAGATCATAATTCATTAACACTGAACAATTTCTCACTTTTTCTTTATTTCTTTTTCTTCGATTAAAATAGCAGTTAAATCGACAAGTCGAGAAAAATTTCATTTTTCTCCGATAAAAATAATCCCGGTAGAAAGTTGTTTGACGATGAAATTGACAAATCCGAGGAACACATATTCGTGTGCCATTTCTCATCTCTCCTGTGCATAAACAGGAATATGTCTTTTTTTTTTTTATCTCTAACCGGCGAGAGCTCGAGCTGGAACGCGCGACCTCGCGTTAACCTCGAATTGTCAGTGGTCATATTTTTTCTTTCTTTTTTTTTTTTTTAAAGCGTGATGAAAATATAACACCGTGCACGAAATATTTGACACGCTCGAGAAATCGATCGGATCTGCGCGACTTTTGCAGCTGGAAAGGCCGCCGTCGAGACCGTGAAAATTCGATTTTCATGGTGCATTATCCCATCGATAAGCGATGCGAAGAGGAGGAGCGTTTCTTCTTCGCGCTACTTCCAGTATCCCGTTCATTTATTCCGCACCTTCCGCAACAGGATGCAATTTTGCAAAAATCTCTACCGCATAGCGTACGATATCACGCATAATAGCGGTAATATCGATTTCGAACGGCCTGGGTATAATGGTGTGTTAACACGTAATGTAATACGTTCCCGTTTTCCGAGATGTGATTTGATACTCGTAAAATATTCGCAGTGGTTGTCAAAAACGTTGCAAAGGCTCTAGCAAAGAATTGCAGATTGTTATTTATTAGATCGCCAACTTGGTATTTATTGTATCGTCGTTTATTACGTCAATATATGACATTCTGTAAATAGTTAAATCGGTTCGCTTATTCGTGGAAAGGTCAAAATATCAACGTCGCTTTCTAAATGCACAGCTTCTCTTTAATATCACGATGGTTTCGTTTTCCCTTTCGTTGCATCATCCCGTCTCAAACCGTGAAAACATATGATATCGTGGATTAATATGACGTTTACTTAATTTCCTATGGTTTTAAATCACAGATTTCTATATTATATATATGTATAGAAGTGTTTTAAATGCAGTTGTCAAACATCTTCCACGATTTAATTAATATATTTCGATCGATATTCTTTCCACCATCCTTTTGCTTATTTTATTTACATAAACTTATATATATTTTAACATTTCATATGTGTGTTTTCTGTAGAATTAAAAGTGGCAAATAATATTTGCATTGATTCTGCGAATTACACATTTTATTAGAATATTGTTAGAATACGGGAGTAATTAATAAAAATTGGAAAAAAAGAAATGTCACATGTACATATATATATATATGTGTTTTAAATGCAGTTGCCAAACATTTTCCACGATTTAATCGACATATCTCGATCGATACTCTCTATCTTTTTGCTTATTTTATTTATATCAATTTATATATATTTTAACATCATGTATGTATGTATGTTGTATAGAATTAAAAATAGCAACTAATATTTGTATTGATTCTGCAAATTTCACATTTACTTAGAATATTAGAATACGAAAATAATGGCTAAAAATTAAAAAAAAAAAATATCGCACATATATATATGTTTTCACATAAATCTACGTTTTTAAGGTAAAGAGTGTTAAAGCGAGTCCGAGATATTTTCGCTAACTCGAAACATTACGCCCCAAGGTCGAGGGATACACCCCTCAAGGGTTAGAACTCTTTTTTTTTTTTTTTATAATTGGCGGGGTTGCGCGCGCGGCTAGTCGTTCCCATTCCGCGCGCGTTTCGTTTCGTTCCGTTCCGTTCCGGCCGTTCGGCCGCTCCTATTCCGCCGCACGGACGCTTTAACATGGCGCATTGATCCTGGTCGCGTGACGTTTCTGCTCGCCGTTCCGCGATCTCGCGCAAATCGCAGCGCGTCGCTCGCTCTCGGATAGATTTTTTTCTTACGTAAGACCGCGCGAATCTGTGCGAAACGGAGGACGAAATCCGGGATACGATGCGCTCGCGTTTTGACGTCGCCAAGTCACGCATGCTGAGGTGAACTCTCGCAACGTGACGCCACGCTCGCCCGCTGCCGGCTTCTCGCCTTTCGACTCGCCTCTATCCGGCGGAATAACGCGTTGAATGGTAAATATATTACTACGATCAAACTGTGCACGTATACATCTCTAGTTGGCATAGCCATCCTTTAATCAGTTAATCGGACCGCGAAAGCTCGATTGACTATGTCGGGGGCGAGAAATATATACGTCGTGTCGCGACCCCGACTAGACGTTTCATCGTGTCTCCTTCTCTGTCCCTTTCTTACTGTCACTCCGTCTCTCTCTCTGTCTTTAGCTAACGTCGCGAACCCCCGGGTTTATTATGACGCATTTGCATTGTCTAAAACTTTGCTCGATATCTTTTCTCGTCGAAAAATTTACCGCTTTTAAAGAAAAATATAATTATTATTTAATGAAAGATATGCTTTTGCGATTATACATTTTCATTCATACACGATAACATTTTCACATATTATGATACTTATTATTTATAAATGTGACTGAGTTTTATTCATATTTATTTTTTGTATTCAATGATTTTATTTGTTTATAATTTATTGTGCATTATTTGATGCGCTTGTTTTTATATTACAAGCAATAAAATGTTTAGTTTTGTTATTAGTATTCTACAACGCAAATAAAGTTTTACGTGCAATCTAATAATTCACATAATAACACACACAAAGGTCTCAAGTTTGCGTAACATTCCGATAAGACGGTTTCAAATTAACGTCTTATGATTGTGTCAAATGTTTCGCGCATATTAATTCAAGGCTGCCGATGGCGTAATCTCGAGTTCAATGTATCATATTGTATATCGAGCATCGTTACATTATCGATCTATTAATCCTATTAATATTTGAAATTATATATATATTGGACATTGGAAGATAACATAAATCGCACATTCACGAACAAGCTTGCTTTGCTAAATAAAATAAAAGAATGAAAACTAACCAATGGGCGTGAGATTAATACTATTATAAAAATCTCTTTTACACGCTTGCAATATTTAATGTTCATTTAGCATTTTTCTGATTTTAATATTTTTCTTAGCTAATTCCTGATTAATCACAAATATTTTTTTTTTTTTTTTTTTTCCGCGAAAAGATAAATTTATCTGCTCTTTTATAAAAAAAAAATTTGGTGTCTTGCTGTAAAATAAGCGCGCGAATGCGGTAAACAGTTGTACAGGAAAATTATATATTACCGTCTTGAGCATTGCAAACCGCAGAAATGGGACATAAAACACAATGAATGGCATTGATAACAGAAACACAGGTTTCGTAATCCAATTATTTTACAATGGGTACTTTGCATTTGTGTCATAAAAGCAGGAAACTCGAAATGATACTTATTACGATAATCACCGAGAGCTCTAGGATACTGTGAATCTTTTATTTTTCTTAATCTTAGAGAAGCGCACGTGCAATATACAATATGTGGAGAAAAATTATAATTTATAATTATAATTTTTGGAAATTAAAAAACACGTATAAAAAAGACTAAAATTAATAAATTCTTAAAAATATATGTATATCAAATATGTGTGTGTTATGTGTGATATATCATACATTAAAAGAACCGTATCTCGTAAAAAATTATCTCTGTTAACTCTATTGCATAATATTATTTGTACTATATGCAATTTTGAAGTTTTGCAAGGTTTTGCAGATTCTGGTTTATGCGCTGCAGATTCTTATGCAAGAGCGGCAAGAAAATCAATAATTACCTGCTCATCCTTACCTCAAGCTGCTATACTACTAGAGAGCGTGATGTCCCAACTCATTTTTTATACGAGCTCAAAATGTTGACACACTATCTCGATGAATATTATCCTGTTATTATTTCTTGTTCAATATTTTTCTCTGAAAAATTAGGCAAAATTAGAAACATTTAAAATTCACTCATGGATAGTCGATTTAAATAAAATAAAAATTAATATTGTATAATTAATCATACTATTTGCAATATATAATTATTAATTTGTGCAATAGTTTTCGTCTCGAAAGTTTTTTTTTTATGTTAAATAAAATAAAAACAAAATATCCAATAAATGCAAGACTACTGGATGATAATTATGATAAGTCAAATTTTCGATTGCGTACCAAACTGATAAAGTAGCATTGGAAAATGATGAAATGATAAAACTAAAAGTTTCTAAAAATGTTGTTATAATGCTATTCATTATAGTGTCGTCAATGTATTTAAATATTTCAAAGTGATTCTGGAAAAGAAAGTCAACAGAGATAAAATCATCACGCTGCATAATTTACACAGGAACAATATGAAAGGGAAAGTACATAACGGGAAATGATAACAAAGGACGCTTATCGATCGATCGTAGTTAGCGTTCAAAAATTACAGGGCGACAGGGACGTTAATTCGAATTCCGTCATGCGGAATGTGTCATGATTTTGAAATCGTTTGATTTTATAATTGATCATAATGCGCAACCAAAACAAAAACTTGAATTATTTCTATTTTTATCATACATATTTTTCTTAGTTAAAATTTATTACAATTTTGTTTTTCTTGAGATTACATAAACACGATACAATCAGGATGTCTACTCCTTGGAAAAATATGGAAAACCTGGAATTCTCAGGGTTTTTTTTTTGCATCTGAAGGAATCAGGAAATTCTTCTGGAATTTTATTGGGAATTGGGAAATTTTTAAAAATTTCTCTTTGATAATGCTTTTATATTAAACAATCGGCAATAAGCCAAGTCGAGAAGCCAGTTATGAATTATGTGTTTAAGATATATAATAAATATATATATATCTATTTTTCTATTTATATAATGTCTAATAATGTCTTAACAAAATATTGAATGTGCAATACAAATTCTTTTAATTTAAAATGTTAAAAAAATAAAAATGTTATACAAGTGAAAAATGTTTATCTTACGATTTTTTTTCCCGGTATATTTGCTTTTTCTACTACTTGAAACACTTAAGTGGCTCTTCCCTTGCATAAATAAAAAGCATTAGACAATTCATACAATAAAAAAACTAATTTTAGAAAGTTACATTTTACAAAAAGATTTTTAAAATATTCTCTTTACCTGGAATTTTGAACAAAAATCCTGGAAGACCAGGGAATTCTTTTTACAAGATTTGAGTAGACACCCTATACAATATTTCATTGTAAAATAAATTAATACGTAATAACTTGCCGTCCGAATGGATGTAGATGTGCCCATTAGACGACAATCGACTTCGTTATCGCGACAATCGTTTTCTTCCCCGAGCGAATTGCTACGTAATCGCGAGAGCGTGTCGGTATGAAAGACTATTTACGGCAGCTCTTGGTCCCGGAATCGGTCCACGGACCACGCGTATACCCTGGAGGAGGACACCGCGGCCCGTGAAGAGAGTACGCCGACGCCGGACGTCGTGGAGCCGGAGGAACCCGGCCGTCTGCACGACGATCCGCAGGAGGATGATCCGTACGAATACGACGACGACATCAGGCTGCCGACGACCTCCGGCGAGCGCCGCGACGTCGATTCCGATGATGACGACGTCGAGTGTCTGCCCCTGTTCGAAGCGGCGAATTACCTCGTCTCGGGTTCCTCGGTGCCGACGACGAGAGTCAGTGCACCCTGCTGGGGATGCAAGAATTGCGCCGTCGAGGGCTTGCCGTTATTCCTCCTCGGCTCGCCGACGGCGGAGGCATCCTGCACGTGCACCTCCTGTCAGTAAATCCGTTTTGTTGCTCTAATCGATGTGTCGTTCGCGTCCGCACTGCGTCTGGATTATAGCGTTAATAAGAATCGATTTTCCCGGTGGTTAATTAAATCGTATCTTGTTATGTCACGATATTATAGCCGATATTAGGATTATGAATGTAAGAATCAATTAATTAAATTATTATGAGAATTATAATCGCGTAATATATATTTTGATATAGAGTTACTTTTTAGTTTATATTTATTCGTCGTTCGATTTTTCTTTTCTATTAATTTTTTCAGTTTTTTATATTTATGATTAAAGGAGATAGAGTGTTATTTCATACCATTTTTTTTAATGCTTGACGCGTATACATAAAAAGATTGTAAAGTATAGGTATTATTTATGCTGAAGTAGAAGCGCGAGGGCCTAAAAAACTTATACTGTAGAATTTGAAAACGAGATGTTCTTTTTCGATCGATCATTTATGTTCGTTAGCGGATTAGCGGACACACGTTGCAAAATTACGTAACCATAGACTTTCTCTTGATGTTACGGATGAATGATACTTTGTATTCTAATCATTCTGATTGTTGCGCGACGATTATGAGATATACTTTTGTAATATTTAATAATTCAAGCACCCCCTTCATACACACATGCATGCCATTCGACGTCATGCATTGGCAAAATATTTAACGAGTCAATATTTATCTGACGCAGTGTGGATGTTTCTAAGTGGCACCGTCGTCATCTGTCTCTCGACGTTGTGCATTTTACCTTTTTTCACATTCTAAACTTCGTCGCATCCGTTTTTCGTGCTGCTTTGAATTTCGTTTTCGCTTGATCACTCGCTTTTGAAAACATCGAGTCCCACACACACACAAATGCTTGACGCGTATACATAAAAAGATTGTAAAGTATAGGTATTATTTATGCTGAAGTAGAAGCGCGAGGGCCTAAAAAACTTATACTGTAGAATTTGAAAACGAGATGTTCTTTTTCGATCGATCATTTATGTTCGTTAGCGGATTAGCGGACACACGTTGCAAAATTACGTAACCATAGACTTTCTCTTGATGTTACGGATGAATGATACTTTGTATTCTAATCATTCTGATTGTTGCGCGACGATTATGAGATATACTTTTGTAATATTTAATAATTCAAGCACCCCCTTCATACACACATGCATGCCATTCGACGTCATGCATTGGCAAAATATTTAACGAGTCAATATTTATCTGACGCAGTGTGGATGTTTCTAAGTGGCACCGTCGTCATCTGTCTCTCGACGTTGTGCATTTTACCTTTTTTCACATTCTAAACTTCGTCGCATCCGTTTTTCGTGCTGCTTTGAATTTCGTTTTCGCTTGATCACTCGCTTTTGAAAACATCGAGTCCCACACACACACACAGACGGCTTGTTCGAAATTACACAGCTTAAACTCGAGCATAAATTGTACAGTGCACGCTCATTAGATAAGACACATTGTACATTGATAATAAATAACGGATTGTCCCGATAAAATTAGATAAGATATAATCAATCGAGAGACGTGCCAATTTTTCTTGTGAATATTATGGCGCAGTTTGTTTTTATTACAAATGCAAGCCGTTTTTTATTATCACATCCTGTGGAGATATTTTATGATTAGCCGCTACATGCACGTACCACTAGTTTGCTTGAAAATACACTTTTGTAGAAATTTATCTTAAAATTATAATATATTTTTTTACAAGAAGAACATTGTTACTAATATATATATAAATTTATTCGAAAAGACCGTATTGCCAAGATAGAAAAATTTATATTTTTTTATTAGCTTGGTATATTGTATTTTTTCTCCTTCTGCGAATATTTAATAATAAACGTAAACTCTTTTAGAAATAATTAATTTTCTTTTCATATAATGCGGGAACGAATTAACGTACGTAAGACGCTATTTGCGTACATCCTCGTGATTTTTTAGTATCGGGAGGAAGGAAAGAGGAAGGTTTATCTGCATTCCGATCGTACCAGATCGACGAGTCTGTCGTAGTGAAAAAACACTCAGGACCGGTTTTAAAGTCCTATATAGAATAACCGTATGGCATCAATGTCAATATATAGGCTATAATCTAATGTTCAACATTTCATTAAGATAAAATATTTGTCGTTATCTCGTGAGAGAAATTTTACGAAAACAAACGATTTTAATCGAGTCTTATTTTTAATAATGTTGCTATTTATTGAAAGGTTGATTAATCATCTATCTCGTCAATATGTAATTAGAACGTAATGAATTATCTAAAAAGGCGTAAACTATTATCTCTCCGAGAGATGTTATACTAGGTCACTGTAATTAGATCTATGACATATATGAGTTTCTTTTAGAAGCCAAACTGCAAAAGATTTATAAGAGAAATTTATAAAAAGTGAAGTCTTGATCAGTTTGATTTCTGAAAGGCTCAATAGAAATATAACAAAATTCTGAATGAAATGAATATAATGAAATGAAGAAAAGATATTTATTATTAGATTACATTTTCGAGAGATTAAATTTAGTGAAATTATCAGTTGCGTTCAACTGTATCCGTTATCAAGGATAACAAATACGCATAAAATCACGTGGCCTTTGAATTAGCGATATTTTAATTGCATGGTCTGCGATTTCTAATCGCATTGTTTTGCAATAAAATTAATATTAAGAACTATCGAAAACATGTATTGAACTGCAAACACTACACTTTGTTAACAAGAATACTATAAGGTCACCGATTTTATAAGATTTCTCGAGCTTATTTATTATTATTATCTCATAATAAATAAAATGCTTCTTTACTAAAGAAAATACAAAGAGAACATGATGCAATCACTTGTTAAGGAAAAGCATCAATGTTCAAGAAAAGAAAGTAAAATATGTTTCCTGAATTATATACAGATCGTGGAAGTAAATCCAAAGCATAGGATTTTATTTGAAAAACACTTCTCTCGATAAGTCTTTTTTTTTATGAAGCTTTTATCACAGGCAAGATTTATAAACTAACATTGAAAATCTTTATATAAATTTCCAAAATTCTACAAATCGAGAAAAAAATAGAATCGCGATTGTAAACCATTATTTCTCAGATCGGTTCAAAGTATTTTAATTCCTACAATACATCGTCCTTTATTCGGTAGGGAAATCTTCGTCTGGCATGTTGAAGAATTTGCGGCACTTTCTGAAAATTCACTCGTCAATCATTGCGATCAATTGGCCATGAAGGTGTCTGTTAACGTAATTCGCTCGTGAAGACATCTCCGTCATGAAGACGACGACGAAGAATTCATTCGAAATGCAGTGAAGGGAATCGAAGCGCGCGTCTCTCATTAGAATTGAAAGTGGCCCATTATTTTTGTTTAGTCTCGCTTCTTCGATTGTTATACGGTGACTAGTCATCCACCTTCGATAAAAAGGAATCCATCATGAAACAATTATGTAATGAGGACAGACATTAAAGTGTCTATCTTGTCGAGAAATATCTCGACGCAATAGCGGCTATCTTAGATTTATTTCGCTTACATCATTTTCTTTACTATTACGCTTAATATTTTATAACAATCTGCGAGTGAGAAAAATCTACGATAGCATTTTTAGAAAATAAAAATATTAATATTTTAACATTACGATGTACGTTGTACGATGTACGTCTCGCCTTTCTTGCTACATGATAAAATTATTAGTCGGTATTTACGGTATATCGGGCTTAAAATAATAATAATTCTGTGCTATTTTAAATAATTTATTCAAGAGATTAATATATAACGGAACTGAATATGCTAATGACTGAATATATATTTTAAATATATTTCTTAGATATTTAGCCTGGTGCATCATTCGGGTTACATTCTAAAAACTTATTGCAAAGTCAATTCTTTTCGGCTATTTTTTTTGAAATTGAAATTCTCGTTGCATGTGCAACGGAAATCTCCGAAACTGAAACGAAAATTGCGCTTCTAAATGGCCGGCGAAATTGATCGATAGAAGGGAAGCGAGGGATTCTCGACTTTATGACTCTCTTTTACAAGAGCGAGAGGGTCATTTCGTCTCCACGCTTTCCTCTTCTTTTCGCGTGCCACGTTTTCTCACTGCTCTCATTATATACCGCATCCCTTGGCATAAGACACGCGATGTCGTGTGTCTCCTTGCCATTTTCTCGCGATTTTCCTCCCAAAGTCGGTTTCGCGCGCGAAACAAACGATCAGTTGCTGGAGATGCGCGACGAGGATCCGTTGCCTGTTGCTCGTTATCTGATGTTACTTCTTTTGTGAAAATCTGAGAGGAATAGAGTTAATATTACAATCTTTGTCAAGTTGTGATTTTGAAAAAAATCATAAGTGAAGCATAGTGGAAAATGTCGAGTGCACTAAAATCAGTTTATTTCATTTACATCTTATAGTTAGAATTATTTTGTGTTGGGAATTTATGATAAGAATCGGGGATAACAGATCTATTTATATTGACATAGATAATTATTATCAAAATTGAGGGTGATAGAGTCTTTCAAGCTTAAAACTTTTACATCTTGTTGGAAACATGTTTGCGCGCACTTTTGGCGCAATCATGTTGCGAGATCAAGAGTGCATGAAATACATGCCGGAATCCTTTAATATGTTGACATCAGGTAATCAGAAATACATTGTATTAAAGAGAGAGAAAGAGAAAGAATAAACAATATTAGTGAATTTTAATAAATAAAAATACTTCTTAAACATTCGAAAAAACGCAATAATTAATATTATATTTTGTATAAATTATATTTTATTAAATAATATTTATATTCATCTGAAAATAAAAATTTTGATTTTAATAAAATTGAAATGTTATGAAAAAAACATCATAAAATATCATAAAAATATTGAAACTCGCGAAATGAGACGTGTTTTTTATTAAAAAGTATCTCTAAATTTAAAATTTTTAAACAAATAAAATGTTAAAGTTTCTTTATAAGTATCATTAACAAGATTAAAATGTCGCGCTTTTACATACGAGCCAGAATGACAATAAATATCTTTTCATGCTGATTTTTATTGATAAAGATTAAACAACGAATTTAAAGAATAATGCGATAATGCGCTTTGCCTATTCATAATAGAATTTACTACATTTTAAATATGGGGATACTTACTAATACAGGAGATTATAAATAGCGGAAAATCGATTATCGACAACAATAGATAGTAGTGTGTGCATAAAAAGATCTAACGCGTTATTTTCATTGTTCTCGACTCGTTTTCGAGACGAGTAAAATCTCAGTTGTAATACAACGATCTTCTTTTATATCACAAAGCAAAATTCGAATCGATATAATTTCGATGAGTTCAATTCTTGATACTGTAGGTAAAAAGAAAAATTGACTTTTACGTATCAATTAACACGAATTCAATTATCGCGAACAATCGTTAAGATTTTGTATATCTGTTTGGCATCCTGAAATCCGAATTCATTGAAATTACACCGAGGTTTTAATCACTGTCGTATAATGCACCATCGATACGCAAATAGATCACGTGCGAAGCGTCGTTCAACGAAAGAAATATGATATTGTATTCATACATCGATTGCGCATGCCATACAAATCGTAGAAGACATTGTATCGCACGCAATGCGATCTTATATGTGACTTAATGAGAGTATGAGAACAGGAGAATATTAATATCAAAAATTAAATAAAACCGATGTATTTATATAACACAAGCCTTCAAATTTTTAATATTATAAAAATGGCTTATAATATATAAGATTAGAATTGTATATAAAAAACTACGACAAATTTTATGGCAGCATAAAAAATTATACTATAATAAAGATCACATATAATGCTTTATACATGTAAATAGTATCGAAAAGTTTTATATATATATAACTAGAGAGTTTAAATATATTTATAATAAAATGTAAAATACATTTTAGGCTGTGATATTTTTTACGGAAATAAAAGAAAATACACAGATATAAAAATCTATCAAGTGTTGCGCTTACGTTGTTCTCACAGAATTTAAATGTAATGGTCCGGCCTCTCTGCATATTTCTTTATCAAAGTGCTAAGACATCTTTTTTAAATCTGGGAGTTTAATAATAAAGTATTATTCTTGTTACAGTCTTATGTAGCAACCGGGTGAGCCAAATGACCAAGACCTATAATGACATAGAGGCAGTTACAAGGCTTCTGGAGGAGGTATGTCTGATTGGGGGCTACAAAAGCTAGTAGAATCTAAGTCCCGTGCCATGCATATCGCATCGTTAAAGTTTCACGAGTCGTAATATCCGCATCTGAAGATATTAATAATGAAACGTCCATGACAAATCGATAAAATGTAACACACCAATAAATACTAATCATTTAAGTGACGATTAAATAACTATAATCAGACTTCGTGTGTAGAGAATGTATATCAAACTATTAAAATTTGCATTTAAAAAATTTGGTTCTACAATAGTTATATTTATAAAAAAAAAAAAAAAAAAAAAAAAAAAAATTTTTTTAAAACCTGTTAACTCGGTCCCTTTCACACGAGTGTTTGACCAATCAACGAAAAACGCACGCTAGTATTTGCCCTACACTCTTCGAGCAATCCGATTGGATGCTACAGTGACTTTTCTAAGAGAAACTGAGGTTATATATTTCGTTTAACAGTTAAAGGTCGACATAGGATTACTACAATAGTTATATTTATAAAAAAAAAAAAAAAAAAAAGAAAACATTTTTTTAAATCTTGCTAATTTACAAATAGCTATTAAAATCGTTTAGATAACTTTTATTGAGACATTTAAAAAAAATCCACTGTTCTATGCAAGAGAAATGTTAAATAAGCTATGCAATAATTTGACAATAAATTAACAATAATTATATACAAAAAAATCTTAAGTTACAATAACGACAAAAGATTATGTCTTTTTTTGATAGAAAGAAAAAGACTTAGAGCTGACAGCGCGTATCGGCAAAGAACTGCTGGCACATAATCAGAAGCTCGAAAGTACAGTGAACGCGTTAGAAGCTGAGCTCAAGGAAGCGAACGAGAAGATCACCCAGTTGAATCATGAGGTATTGAAGAAGACCGAGTTGATACAGATACTAACGAATGATGTGGACGAATCTAGTTCGGAAGCCGGAACTCCCACCGGCTTCCGTGGAATTAATTTGGACACGCTGCAGAGGAAGGTTGGTTCTCTGGAGGAGGAAAACAAACAGCTACGAAGCGAATTCGCCAAACTGGTGCATGATACTGACTATTCCGAGGCACAGGAGGCACGTCTCGTAGAAAACATTGCAGCGCAATTAGGTGCATATCCTTGTACTTATTTTTATACACTTTGTTTGTTTATTGAAATTTTTTTGCATTTGATATTAAATAGCGCGTTGATCATTCTTTTGACACAAAATTGAACTTTAACAGACAATAAAATTATATAAGCTGAAATACAGAAAGCTGTAATATGATTTCGCAGTGCTATATTTTTGAGACTTTTATATAATTTAGCTGTTTTTCAATAATAGCAAGTGCTAACATGGAGGTGGACGGTATAGCGGATGAGCTCGGTCGTCAAAAGGAGGAGAATCGACTGCAGCATGAACAAATAGTCAGTCTTACTGCTAAATTAGCTGAAACGGAGCTCAGGCTCGCTCAGCTTATGGCGGAGCACGATGAAGTAGGAACGACTCTAGTCATTACTAGGGATAATCAAAATACACTTGCTAGTGAATTAGCCGAATTCAAGGAGCGATACGCAGAGGTACATTTCTTTTTGAAAAAATTGAATATATATGAAACAAGACGGGTACAATTAATTATTTTCTTAAAGTTTGATATGTGAAGGAATCATAGGATTATAGTATAAGATAAAAATATGTACAACTCCATGCTTGATGAACTTAAATAATCTGAATTATCGTTTTTCTTGTGTAAACCTGTTGAGATGCGCTGAACGCTTCGTGTTAATGTGTGCACCAGGTGGTAAATCTCCTAGCTGAAACTCAAGAACAGTTGCGAAAACAAAGGAAACGTGGAATGGGTGCGGCGCCTCAACCGGATTCTATCGCTTCGGAATTGGAATCGTCCCTTTATTCGGAATTGAGTCTCGACTCTGGAATCAGTACAGGCGACAGAATGTATGTAGTAAAATTTTGTTTAATCTTTTGTTATTATCCTTAGAATTAAAATTATAATTATATAAATACTACATTCTCGTATATTCGAATCACGAAAAATAATGATTTCAACGTTTATTTAACAATGAAACAATTCGTATTACTTTTGTTCTGCAGATCAACGTACAAAAAGGTATTCGAAACAGTTCGTAGCGCATCCCGAGCGTCGTATGCGGGTATGGATCCGAATCAATTCCCTAGGTTGGGCTCTATGACGACATCCACGTTATCCAGCGGTTCTGCTGGTCCGCGAATGAGTTGCGGACAAATACGACCGCAGGCGTCTACGTTTCCTAGCTTGGATTCCACCGGTAACAGTGAGAGTGAAGGTTCTTTACTTGCCGAGTCGGAAGATTATCCGTATGTATCTATTTTTTGTTCTCGTTTCTTTACAAAAATAGATTCGATTTTTTTATAATTTTGATGACATGCCCTTTTACGGTTTCAGAGGACCGCAACGAACGGGTGTTCCTGGTGCTCCTGGTGCCGCTGATCTGGAAGCCGCTTTGCGGCGTCTGACGCCGGCCGAGGTATCGGCGAGGCGTGCGTGTCTCAGTACAGGCGCAGGTTATAATTACGATTACGATGGTGGCATGTTACATTCCCCGTCAACCTTCTTACCGTTCGACTGTCGCACTCCCGACAGTATCATGTCAACTGGCAGCTGCGGTAATTTGAGCGGTTTTAGTGGCAATAGCGGCAACGCTTGGCGTATCCCACAGAAACTGCAGATAGTTAAACCGATGGAGGGCTCTCAGACGTTGCATCATTGGTCGCGATTAGCGACGCCGACGCTAGGTGGATTGCTGGAGGATAGGCCGGGTGTGAAGACCAGGGGTGGTCGCGCTCTCGAGGATCTCGGTCTCGTTACATTCACTCTGAGTGATCTGGAAGAGGACGAGGAATACACAAATCCCGGTAAACCTTTTCAGGATACTGGTTCCATTTACACATTTACTAACAGCACCGTAATGCATCCGGACGATCATACTACTAGTAGCGTGACACCGAGCATCGTCGGCAGCCGCGTCGCTACCGCGCCAAATAGCGGTATGAATTCTGGTATGAGCACTCCTCGCACGCATAGTCGCCGCAATTCAACATCGACGTTCTCCACCACGCTAGGATTAGCCAAAATGCTGAACGAGAGAGGGATCAAAGCCGTTACGCCTTCGTGCGTAGGTACACCTACCGACGAACGAAATTTCTCGCCGACTGCTACACCGTGTAACAGCCCGGATGCGAGTCTATCGCCTACGAGATCGTCGTCGCCGCCACCGTCACCAGAAAGTAGTGCTTCTCTGACATTGGGATTGCTCAGTAGCGGCGCGGAATTATTGAGGCGTACCTTCAGTTACGAAGTGCCAACAGCGCAATCTAAGAAGAAGAGATCGAAATCAACGATTACGCGCTCCGAGAAGAAGGCTCTCACGGGAATACGTCTGGTCGAAAAATTGGAAAGGATCGGAATTGATACGATTATGGCTACCACGGTTAGCTCGTCGATCTCGCCGCTAGCTCTACAAGGTGCTCTGTATACGCGTCGCTCGACTGGAAGTCCAATGGCACAACTGACTTTCCTCAAAACATCCATGTCCTCCAGTATCAGCCAAGAGAAGCTATCTCCATCGTCTTCAACATCCTCCGCCAGTGATGAGTTTCCGTTGGGCAAATCGCCATTGCCGGGTAAACGAGACAACAGCAAGGAGCCCGAACCTAGTGTGTCCAATTTGGCATTTAACTCGAGAGCAGTGGGTCAGTCGCCAGAGCGACAACGACGATCGGGTGTTAAAGCGACGAGGCCCGATTTGGGACGAGTTAAGCCGCCAGTTTCAACGCCCGTTACTAAAGAATCTACCAAACAGTCAGCATTAGGAGCGATAAGCTCACTTCTTTTTGGTCGTAAAGGCGGTTTACTATAAATATTTTATAGAGTCTGTAAGAATGGAGATTTATCAAGCGGATTAATTGTTAACAAAAATTTGCAAAAAAAAAAAATCATTTTTACTACATTTTATTGAATGTATGATATGCGCCTCTTTTTGATTATTTGCATTTTGATTTATTTGTTTTCATATAATACAGTTTTCTCAAATTCATCGTGATGAATTAGATAAAAACGTCAAATAATCTTGATGAATGCAATAACTTTAATAAGTTTTACAATCAGGTTACACTATATATATACTTTGTATAGTATAGTACGTATTGTATAGTAAGCACACTTATCTTATTTTAAGTTCTATTATAAAGATTATAATGAATTAAAAATGCAAATATAGATAGACCGATCTCTTGAATACACTTTAAATAGTGAACACGAAATTATGTTCTAAGTCCTATTTTGTGATGAATTAAAAACGGAACAGATATACATACATGGAAAGCTGAATGTTTTGATAATTTGTAATAAATGAATGAAAATGTGGAAAGAAATCTATGAAATAATAAAAAGATAAGTGAGATTCTGTAAAGTATTAGCTCAGAAATGAAAATACTAAAGATTATTTTAACTTATGATTGCGTTATAAAATCTTTGACTGTGTATTTATAGACTGCTAGTTGCTGCATTCACGCATCTTATACTCTAACAATATAACAAACTAAGAACTAAAGTGTGTATATAATGTATAGTTTGTGCGCATATGTGTGGTTCACAAGATTTGTAAAATTAAAATTTAAAAAAAGTTAAAAAAAGAGAAGAAAAAAAAGTTATATATAAAAATTAGTATAAATATCAAAATATTTTTAATACATATTATTTAATACTTTTTTGTATAAAAGTCAGAAAAAATAACGGCTACTATTATTGTATTTATTTTTTTTATATTATCAATATTTATAGTTGAGATAAATATCTAAATTTCATGCAGATTTAATACATCAAACATCTACTACATTGGGAACATTTCACTCAATTTTACTATAAATGCAATTCTTATACATATGCAGTACATATTTATACAGTTGAAGGTTAAAAATATATATTCCTAATGGTATAACGCGAGTTACAAATTAAAGGAGCTACATAATGGCAGAATGGTTAGTGAAATGAATAACATGTATTTGAAATTTAGAGTGATGATTGTGGAGAATAAGTTATTATTACATGAATATATATATGATATAAATAATATACAAAGAAAGAATGCTGAGAATATGATGCATCCTACTATCACACATTTTATGCAATTTAGCACAAAGTCAATCAAGAAAGGGAGAGAAAGAGTTTTGGTGCTAATTTATTTTTCTTTAGCAAATACTTAATACGACAAAGTTGTAATATCATCAATGCTATTGTCAGTCTTTGCACATGGAAGATTGTGCATTTAGTATTGATCATCAAGTACTGTACATAGTTGAAATGTAGCAGGATGGTAAAGGGCTTTTTTTTTTTAAGTAATTTTCGTAACTTGCAATAATTTATTGCAGCTTTTTATTTCTTGCGAATGGAGCTGAATATTATGTAAGAAGATTGCAACATATAATATAGAGAAGAAGAGTATTTAGCTCGATGCAGCTTTGTACATAGACGTACAAATTAATAAATTCAATTAGAAAATAACGCTGTGTTGCTGTCCTACCGTTCGCATTTTTATTAGTATCTCCTTATGTTATTTTTTTGTTCATTTAAAAGGCCTAGCTGGAAAAATTACAGTGTAATAGTTATGTGCGTTATTGTAAATAGAGCGACTCTAAAGCGATTGTAAAAACATCATGTTTTACTGCAATTACATACTGTATACTAGTATATAAAGAATGCAATTTCAATGAAAACATGTTTAAGCATATTCTAATAATTATTTATTCCTGCAAGATAGTATTACATATTTTAGAGATGTGATTCCGAGAAGAAAATTCTTGAGCTTATCTTGTTCATAAAAAACGAGTTATATAGTACATAAAAGAAGAAAATTAGATATTCTGCATGAAAGACTTAGAGTGTATTAAAAAAATGCATTTAGATAGTTTGTAGATCTCTCGCGAACAGCAGACGTATCCATATCTTCATTACAGAGTGTATTACTAAGAATCACAGTAATTGCGGTAAAATCAAATGAATGTACGACCATTTCACGAAATGAATAACAAAGCATTACAATACACAGATTTAAGTCAATTAACTATGAAAACTGATAAAATCTATAGAAAGTAAAGACATTGCATAAATGAAATAAAATAAGCAAAACGCAAAAGTAGTACAGTGTAAAAAGTTACACCAATCTAATTCATTGAGAGTTTGTTTTACATGATCTGATAATACACACACTAATAGATTTTACACTTCAGTTTTCACAGTAAACGGACAATACATGTAATATAAACGCAATGTATTTTATGAACCGACAAAAGTAAATTAATTTTCATTATTACAAAAATTGAGAAGTTGTGCATTACTTCAATAAAGTATGTCACTTTGGGAGAGATACGATTATTAAAGCTAAGTAAGATGTCAATGTATTACTAAGTGTGATCCTGTACACTGATGTCTGTTAGATTTACTATAAATAACGAGGCCTTAGTACCTGTTCGGCTTTTGTTCGGTGTCTGATATTTTGTTTCAGATTGTGATATCTTTATGTCTGGCATGTACTTGAATTTCATGTACTTACCAACGATTTGCGTTGATTTATTCGATTATGTTTACGACAGGAAGCTCTTTACAGAAGGTGCTATGTAATCATCTTAAACAGTAGAGATATGTCGTACCTCCAAATTGAACAATAAATATATTTAAGTATTAATGGCGCAATTTTTCTTACATAAGTATTATTTATTTCACAAATAAATTCTGCAAAGCTATTTATAATAATTTTTTGGGGTTCTTTATTTTATTTATTTACAAAAGAAAACTCTAAACAGTTAATATTATTAGATAACGAAGTTATCCATGTTCACACATACAACTTTACATCGTATATATCTTGAAATTTTTTATTTAATCCTAATTTTAATTTAATTTATTTCAAATGATTAATCTTATTAAATTTATCATATTTATCATAATGTAAAAATACGATGTTATATATTTTATGCGTTCACTAATATATACAATATATATATATATATATATATATATATATATATATATATATATACACACGAGTGATTTGACGTGGGGGGATACATTAACGTACGATATTCTTCGATAATAAAATCATAATCAAATCATATTCTTCGAATCCCAAATTTTCATATTTCGAGAAGATAGTTTTTGTTTTAAATTTAGGTTTTTTTTTAAATTGCGGTTAAATAATACAATGGCATAAAAAAATTAACAGCGCGTGCTTCATGTTCTAATTTTTTATAAAAATTTCAACATTCAAAAATATAAGTTTTTTATATAAACGATATATTGCACAGAAGAATTAACCAATCGCAGCAATATGATATTGATCGATATTATCTTTTAAGGACTTTTGGAACATATTTGGTATGTAATGTATAAGTTGAATAAGAAATATGTATATATGTATAAATGGCACATAATTAATATGATGCGTAATTTCTTATTTTTATATGTGCATATATACATTTCATATTTTTCACAGCTTTATTTTTACATTACAATATGCATTCACATATCACGTTTTATCAAGAGACACGGCATTGAATTCTGTGACACCCGGTATGACATTCTACCCACATGTATGTAAAATGGCTACATTTTTTTTTCAGGCACTTATATTTTGTATAGGAGCATCTGCCCAATACATGATGATACATGGCATGGCGTTAAAACACTATCTTACCATCATCGGATGTTATCTAACAGCAAATATTGCTGATGATACTTTAACATTAATTAACAATTATGCTTGTTCTCAAAAATCAAGAGTACATGCTCAAGTTTTTGAAACCATGGCAGGACTGCACTTTCACAGAGATTCTGGAAACTTTCTGTAGGGAAGCGTGTGCAGTTTTTCGGGACGATTATGAAATTTTACGCACTTATTTTGAAACTTATCTGATTTCTTTATCTGGTCCCCATTGCGTCCACCTTTGTTCCAAGAGAGCAACATAGCTGCTATGATGCTCGGACACAGGCGCACCGAACAAAAAGAATATATTTATGTATCTTTATTTATTAATTAAACTTATCAGTTATAAACTTTTAACATAACGTTACATCTATGATGTTGAAAAAAATATAATTTTTTATTGTCCAATATAACCAATATAAGAATGTGTATCTATTCTTTTATACATTAATGTCAGCAATATCACATCACTATGCATTAGTATGTAAAACAAAGTTTTGTTAGAAAGATAAAAAATTTCAAAGTGTATATTAATATAATCGAAATTAAAATTAGAATCAAAGTCAGATATTAGCCTATATCAATATCTAAGATAAGTAAAATCAAGCAAGAGAAAAGATATCGTCCATAGAGTATTAATCTAGTATTATGAAAAATTATCTCATTTAGTAAAATAAATATATATCAACGTATGAGAGTTATAAATTATATAACATAAAAAAAAATGTTTTATATGCTTAAAGTTTAAGTAAAATAGAGTTTTATACATATGTATGTAACTATCATCCTATTATGTTTGTACTCTATTTATATATATATCACATATATATATCACAT